CTATACCTCTTAATGATTTATTACTATTATGATCTTTTGATACTGATGCTCTATTTTTCTATCAAAACTGTTTTTTGATCGGCAGTTTTGCCGGTCCGGAGCTCTCTTTAGCTCCTCCCCCTCCCGTGACGCGGCCTCATGGGTTTGGCCATGACGTCACGGGAGAGGCGGGCACTAGCCCTTTATAAACCCTGGCGGCGAGGGGGCTCCCTCGTCACTCTTGAAAAAGGCGCCACATAGCGCCGAAACGCGCGTCGATTTTAGTTAGCTAGAGGATCAGCCTAGTCAGTTTACTCTCGTACCGCATTTACTACGCTCAATTATTGACCTAGGCGATCTTTTCACTTTAGCATTAGAAGTTGGAAGCTTCATATAGTTAGCTATGCTATCCGATCTATTTAGTAATCTAGCCTAGTTAGTCTATTTTCACTTTGTTCCCTATGCTTGATTTAGACCTGGGCGGACTTCTCTTATTCATTACTTGAGCTAGCAACTTTATTTAGCTTGACATATTTATTTTTTTATCACTATTTTTGTAACTGCATAAGGCTGGGGGTGATGTGCTTGTCTGCTGAGAGGGTTTTTATTTTTATTTAGGAGGCAGGGGTACACTGGAGCTTTTTATATACAATTAGTTCATCTTTATTGCAACATTGTATTTTCTTTGAAGCAAACTACTCCAGGGAATTTCTGTTAAGACCTGATAACAATTTAACAATATACTAGTAATACTGCCATCTGTTCTGCATTTGCAAGCATTTTACCACTTTTGAACTGTGGGGCTGACTATTATCTAGAGGAATTGAGTGACCTGAGTATCTTTATACACAAGAGGAATTTATTTTCAATTCTATTTCTCTTTATTTTGAGTGTATGGTTTGTTCCCAGGTTATCTCACTAGTATAGCCAGCATTTCTTTTGCCCTATTTACTTACCATCTATGTAATGGGCTCTCAGCTTGTTTCAAACTTCAGGGAATTACACCTCATTCACTGGGTAGTATTCCCATAATAGCAGTTTGTTTATACCCTATGCGGACATTTTGGTTTACAAAGGACTTTCCTGGAATATATTACACTATAGATATCCTACTATGACATACTATGCATAGTATACATGCTCCTAGGCACCTACTGATTTACAATATTGCTATAGAGTAACCTTCTGGTGTATCTATTGGTTGGCCTCCGACTGTACTATTATAGCCTCACGGACTTTGAGCCATCCCCCTAGCCTGGACTTTATGCAGTTTTATTTAGTCTCTATATATGTTTAAATGAAGTATTTTTTATTTTTATTTATTTCATTTTATTTCAGTACACTAGGGGATTCTATATACCCCCAGTGGGCACACCCAGAGCTGAGGGTGTTGTGAGAGTTAAACTTCTGTTCTCCTCTCTACACACCCTTACTCTTGGGATTTTTTTCATTAGAATACCATATGAGCAGGTGTACGTACCTGGTAGTATAACAAATTCACAGGAAAACCGTGTGGAGCAAATATATATATAAGCTTGACAGCCTGAAATGGGTAAAAGAGAGTAGTATGATGAGTGTGGATTGTTGGAAAGAAAACAGACTTATAGCCTGTAGCAGCAATGTTTTTATGGTTTGCTGGGGTATGATTGAAAATAAAATGTTGATACCATGGGAATAGATATGAGTTACTCAGAAATGTTGTCATGGCTTAAATAAGACATCTGAGGGGGGCCGTGGCCTATGTACCAACAACATATGTGTATATATAATAATGGTGTGTAAGGGAAACATAAAATGTAGGTTATATATATATATGTATTACTGTGCAGGAAACGTATGATTGGTTGGATCAGTACGTGTGATTCAACCCGAGTATGCATGAAAAGGAATTAATGCCTTATGTGTCATGGTCATAACAAAGAAATGAGGCTTGTAAAGTAGGCTGAGTTAATTGAAATGAAATGGATAATTTATGGAAAAACTCCTGTAAGCGTGGGAGTCCAATGATCCATACAGAAATGTTAGCTGGTTTCATGCCCTTGATGTAATAAGTGATACCTTAAAATAGCAATGAAAATGGTCTGTCTATTTAAAACAAGCAACTATTTAACCGAATGTATATACATGAAATTATGAAATGTAACTCATGAAACAGGCATGAATAGCTTGAACGTATGCACTTTAATGCGAACAGAAATCTTGCATGAATATAACATGAATAAGTGCCGAACGGAAAACACAATCGAAATGATAATCGTTAAAATGAAGCAAGGGAAAACAGTTGTGCGAGCTGATCGCTTCTCTAATACGCATGAATTTAACCGAACAATTTGTACGAAATGAAGCCACGCGAAAGGCTATGTAATGCGACTGTGCAGAAAAAACGTAAAGCGAGGACCCGTGCTGTACTGTACACCATGGGAACCGGTCCTGGCGTGACAGGTAGGTCTGACTTACGGTTTAGGAGTCCCTGGGACGCGATCTACGACGATGACCGGGGTAAGAAGAAGCTGGACGGACGGAAAAGGCCTGGATACAGCTTGCCGCGGTAAAATCTCGTGGATACTGAAAAGCCAAGATGGCGTCTGAGAGAACCCGGAAGTGGATCCTCATTCAACGCTGACCTCGAACGGTAAGGAGCTACCCCTAGCCTTAAGTAGGCTAGGGGTAGCAAACCAGCACCTCCCACCAATCCAGGCAAATTTGCCTTAATACATATGTATATATATATATATATATATATATATATATATATTGGAAGGCATGGCCTGAAGTTGTGGGAGGGGCTATAGACCTATAAAAGGGACTCCCCCCTTTCCCTACTTACCTTTGTTGGTAAGACGAATAGACTGTTCAAGGTCAGCATTTGCATGAGATCCACTTCCAGGTCATACAAGACACCATTTTGGTTTCACCTTTGCTCCATGAGGTCTCCTACTCCAAGCTGTGTCCAGGAATCCTGCAACAGGGATTTCCGTTAATCCGGTGGCTTTCTCTCCGGTCAGCATCGCATTTGGTGTCTCAGGGACTCTCAAACCGTAAGTTGACCCACCTGTCGCGCCAGGATTAGTTCACACGGCGTTCAACACAGCACGGGTCCTCACTTTACGGTTTCCTTTCGTTTTGCACGGTTATTAGGCTTCTTAGACGTTTTTGCATTTCATGTACAAACCACTGCATTTTCACCTAGACACTGACCCCTACCGGTCATTCATTGTACTCCAGGCTTCTCAGACATTATTGCCTTTTATGTACAAACCAACGAACCACTGCATTTGCGCCTACACACTGACCCCTACCGGTCATTCGGTGTACTACAGGCTTCTCAGACATTATTGCATTTCATGTACAAAACAACGAACCACGGCATTTTCGCCTACATGCTGACCCTTACCGGTCAATCGGTATACTACAGGCTTCTCAGACTTTATTTCACTTCATAAGCAAACAAACTAACTACAGCATTTTCGCTTTTATACTGACTCCTATCCGTCAAACGGTATACTACAGGCTTTTCAGACATATGGTTATTCTCCTCATAACATTCCCACTATAATTATAATTACACATAATAACACTTCCTTACAAATCATGCTTGCTATGATATAATCATTCCTACATACCTGCCTACATAGGCATTTAGTTACATTTACTGACAATACGCATACATTTACCCAAGAATGCACATACTATTTAAAGCACTATGCAGGATTCCAGAGTCTAATACGGAATATTTGCACGCTTAAAATATAAGTCCTTCCAATTATGTATTTTCACATATTAGGTTATTCAGCTGCCAGTCATGGTTCACTACACTCATGTTTCGGGGTACAGTTGTATTCCATATTACACATGATATAACACTCCCGACAAGTTAATTTTCTTCAAACAGGGGCATTACAAGCATACAATAAACATTGGGACGGAGCACTTTGCTCTATTAAACTTGCATAACACACATATGGGTATATGCTTTTAAATGTCTATATTCAATTTTCATACATTGATTTACCCGTCCGGGATACAGGTATTAATAACCCTTACGACCAGTAAGGGTATCTAATCATACTACCAGGTACATACACCTGCTCATGTGGTATATACATACATTTTCTGTTTCCCCCTGGGTATATCCTTAGCGTACTGGCAATTAGGGACTATAGGTTTTCCAATAGGTATTTTCCTTTTTGGTATCTACGCCTGTCGTATAGTGGTCCTGCGAGGCCAACACCCCGCCTCAACGCTTGGAGGCAAACACCCATCAGGCCACTCGTGAGCTAGCCGCCTCGCATGGTATATAGAGAGGGCCTCACCTGTCACTCCCTTCCCCTTTTTTATGGTTACAGTCACCGAGAGGCCAACATTCTGCCACTATGTTTGGTGGCCACAAAAATCCCCTTGCGTCATCGCATAGATAGAGCCTCTTGGCAACTAGCAGGGCCTCACCTGTCACCAAACAAAGGATTAATTGTTTCGCCATGTGGCTTTAGCTAGCAAGCCAGTACTAGCACACTGTGGGTTCATATAATAATAGCTATCTTCATGTTTTTTAGTATGTATCAAGCAAGTGGTAAGGATTTCTCTCTACCTAACACTCCAGCTAGAGTCAACACACTTTCAATTGGAGATGTTGCTAGTCCCATAGGACAATTTTGTCCCAACACAGCGGACGATCACGTTTCAGGCTCCAGGCTCTAGCACCTCTGGTAGTACATAGAGAACTACCAGAGACAAATTGGATCGTCTCATTCTCTTTGGCAAATCCCAGATTTGCAACAATTTCCATGTTGGCACATGTAGTTTCAGTGCATGCAGACTGTTGCAGATATGTTCCCAATATGTCAGGGCACATACAAAAACAATGTGTCCCAATAAATGTACCCTGAACCTTACTTCACGTCTGTAAAAATTATGCATTTCCAGTACTTTCTAACTCATCACCCTTCCAGACATTTATTTTATTTCCTAATCTCTGATTTTAAAGGCCTTCTGTTCAGGTATTTCCATATACTTTTGGGGGAATCTAGAATGCCCTAACTTGCAGTCATCACAGCAGCATCCAACAGCTGGCATTACACTCATGGCCCAAGAAATGGCAGAAAGATTTCTACCTGGGCCTCTCCAATCTACACCATTTACAGTGTGGCGCAATCCCATTGGGATTGTCACAGGGAATCTTCCCTCACACTGTAACTGATCATAGACTTATCTGCACCTCATGTCTCGGCTACCCCATAGTCTCAACTCCCTCATACCCTCCGAGGAGTTTTCATTACAGTATGCCACCATTGTTCATACCACTACAACTATCACTCAAGCAGGGAGGGGAAGCCTGGTTAAGTAAAACTGATATCACAAACGCATTTCAGACTGCCACCATCCACCCTGCACTGGCACTTACAGGGCATTTATGGGCAACAGTTATATATTTCTTCTCCCGCTTAACTTTCGGGTCAAGAGCAGCCCACAATCTTCAATATATTCGTTGAACTCTTTACTGGTTTTGGTTAAACATATCCAAGTGCCCCACAGTCATACACTCCCGAGATGATTTCTTGTTGGTCAAAGGGAATGCCTTTCCCTCTAGAAGCTTCAAGGAAGCCATTAGTATGTCTGAACACTTGGGTGTCCCAGTATTCCCTAAGGTCACAGAAGACCCAGACACTATTGTTACATTCCTGGGCATACAACTTGACTCGGCATCCATGCCAACAAGTTACCATGCGAGAAATAGGAACAGTCGCAACAACACCAATTACCACCTCCTGCTTGGTACTTGCAACCACATGGAACTACAATCCCTGCCAGGTTCCTTAAATTTTGCCATGCGCATCATACCGCAGGCCGCGCTTTCATCTCAGACTACGTGGCTTTTTCCTCCCTCCCGAATGATGATCAGGGGCTGCCCCTAGAAAACCAAGCCATGGCAGACCTACACATATGGTGGACTTTCTTAACCACACGTAATGGTAAACTATTGTGGCAGCTGCTGTGACAGCCGCCATGGCAGGGGGGTCATTTATGGTCAAGGTCATGGATTACATGAACCTCGCCAACATAGCCGGCCTCTGACTAAACTGGCCTTGTCCACCAGCACTCAACACGCTTGCTACAGGGTTTTCCACTTATACAATATGTTTCATGTAGGACCATCACTTAGATAGCTGGTTTGAGGTTTCACCACGTATGGCCTTCGCCTATTTTTGCCACCTTAAATTAGTAATTCTCGCACAACACGGTTAAACTTTATCTCACGGGCATTCAACACTATACGTATTTCTCCATCCCAAACAACAAGGGTTCCTATCCTCTTACCCCATCCATACCTTACTTAGAGACATGGCCAAGCGGACGTTCCCACTAAAACTAAATACTGGGCATAGACATACAATGTTCAAACCATGTCAGAACCACTCGACCATGCACTTCCGAGCCACGCACCAATGCAGTTATCAAAACTGCTACCTATCTAGCCTTTAACGGCTTTCTCAGGCCAAAACAATAACTCACTATCAGCGGCCAACATCATAAACAAGAGTGCCTGTTGACCTCTTATCTTCTAAAACACACAGACCACTATGTCCAGTCCCTTCCTAAAACTAAGACGAGTCAGAGGGGCGATCCAGTGCATATAACCTACTACCTTACAAGCAATGCTGGGTGCCCGGTTACGGTACTGATTACGTTCTTGGGCACGCCACCATACGCACCACTGAACCACTGAACCATTACTGTCGCTGTACGATACTGTCCTTACCACAGTTCATACACTATGTCCACCTACTCATTCACCGGGATCGAACTAAACCCTAGCGACTACTCAGGGCACTCCTTTAGGATAGGGGCAGCTTACACAGCCTATAGCCAAGACATACCCACACACGTTAAGACACGGGGCCGCTGGGAATCATAGGCTTATGCGACTTACATACCACAGCCGATTCAGGAATTAGGAAGCTTTCATTAAAATGTCTATCTGATGGTTAACAAATGCACTATGATCCTGTATAACGTTTTGCATTAATATGTCTCTTTTTGCCCACTTTTTACCGGCCTACAGCATACGTCGGTTTCGGCACACCTCAACTGATTATTCCTAAAGCTACATCTCTACAACCCATCTTATTCTTTTTTTTTTTTGACAATCTTTATTTTCCATTTCAAGTTTGAAAACAACAGTGTCTAAGAACATTTTATCGCTTGACAAAAAAAATATTGTTGAGCATGATATAGAGCTTCAGTAGCGAAGAAAAAAACCTTTAGTGCCTTAACACCTCCCATGTCTACACAGCAAATATTTACATTCAGGTCCATCAGGTCACCTGGGTGAGAGCCAAGTGTGGTGTTTTAGATAAAGTTTCCCTCTACTGTGGGTAGGCAATTGTCAGTGTACATATTTGTATGTTTATCGGTATAGCTCGGCATATGGGAGGGTACTCTGTGTACCAGTCTAGGTGACCGGGCGGTATGTTTTCATGCCGGTATCAACACTAGATTTGGTCTCAGTTCCCTGTGTATTCTGCTCCTGTGCTTACAATGAGTGTGCATATTAATATGCCCCTATTGCGGGCTCCTCAGCGTCAGTCGTTGGGGTTCGGTCCGGTGTCCAGTCTTGGAAAGGGGGCGGGAGGTAGGAGACACAGAGAATAGGGGTAGCTAGGTAGCTTAGCTCTGTATGAGTCAGCTTACTACGGGCCTCTGGGGGGCCATGCTTGGGTTTGCTGATCTGTTGGCTAGGTATGTTGCCCAGGGATACCAGGTCAGTGCACATTGCTCCTGTCTACCTTGGAGGT